CGATGTGGAGTGCCAAGAACAAGGATGGTCAAACCATGGCACCAGATGGGGCGTTTGCAGCTTTGCTCGGCACACACAGTCTGCTAGGACAAACAATGCTGCAGGAATCAGTCTGTGTACTGGTGATGAATTCATCTGACTTCAAAGTACGTTGTGCAGAGATGACCCTGTTGTCTATCAGGAGCTGCCAATGCAGAGACCTGAGGACATCCCCAGGGAGAGCAGTGAGGAAGAGAAAATGCCATCTTCTGCTGGAGAGCTGGGCCGGGCTGCTGGGACACAGGGAGCTCATAAAAGTGGGCAGTGCTGCAGAGAGACGGCTGTGCCCAGGAGCAGCTCTTGTGCACAGCACAGCCTGCAGGTGACAGGAGGAGAGCAGAGCAAGGAGAGAGAGCTTGTAGGATGTGTATGGTGTGAGCAGGCTGTGAGCTCACTGGAGGAGCATCGCTGGCAGCCTCTGACAAGGTCAGTCTCACTGCAGGCTGTGACTCTGCCGCCTGCCAGGCTCGGTGCTCAGCCTGCCTGGGGAGCTGCCCAGGGCGCTGCGGGGAGATGTGTGGGGGGAAGGAGCCCCTCGGCAGGGCAGGGCAGGGCAGGGCAGGGCAGGGCAGGAGCCTTCTGCTGCTGGGGGCATGGGGATCACAGCTTCAGCGCTGCCAGAGTGTCTCCAAGGGCACTTTGCAAGAGGAGAGACAAGGCAGGGATTTTCCCATACCTGTCCTTAGGGAAGGAGAATGAGTTGGAGGCAGAGATCTGAAAGGAGATGTGAAATATGAACGCAGCTATAAGAGTCCTGAACTGGACGTTTCTCAGCCTGCAGTTACACGCACAAACTCCTCATGTGCTTTCAGCCCCTCTTCTCCCAAAGGATTGCACCAGCTGAAATTTCCATGCTTCTCTGCAGACATGAATAATGCACTTGTCCAGCAAACAGGCAGCTTTCTCTAGTAGAAATTCAAGTGCACAGAGGTAGGAATGGGCACTCTGAGTGCAGACAGACGAAAGATACATGAATGGAAATATGTCATAGGAAGAAAGTATCCAGGAGGCTGGGATATGATTAGGCAATGAGAGGAAAGCAAGAGCTCCTTCATCTTCCACTTCTCAAGGGATGGTGAAGCTCGTGTAAATTCAAGTTATGGAGTTCAATGAACCCTGTCCTAAGAGAAAGAAACACTGTTATAGCATAGGGGTGGAGTGTCTCTGAAAAAGCTCTTGACTCGTCATTATCTTCTGCACTCTGCACAGGACTCCAGGCCCAGAAGGAACTGCAGATGCCCAACAGCAGCTCCATCAGCCAGTTCCTCCTCCTGGCGTTGGCAGACACGCGGCAGCTGCAGCTCCTGCACTTCCTAAACAGCCATTCCCCCTCCTCTTTATACATTCCCTTGAAGTACTGGAAGGGCACAATGAAGTTTCCTCAGAATCTTCTCTTCCCCAAACTAAGCAAGTCCAGTTCCCTCAACTTTTCTTCCTAGCAGAGCTGCTCCAGCCTTCTGATCATCTTAGTGCCCTCCTCTGGACCCACCCCAAGAGGGGAAGCTGGGGGGCCCACAGGCAAAGGAGGGCTCTGCAGTGGTGCTGCTGAGCCAGCAGGGCAGATGGAGAGGGACTCAGCAGTAGAGAGAGTCTGACAGCGATGACCCAAAATGGTTCATGGATGTTTGTGTTCACTGAGAAGAAATCAGAGTTTCTTGGCTTCCCAGTGGCCATCACAGCACTGGGTCACCCCCAGGAATCCAGTGACTTGTCTGGGGGCATTGAGTGTGCTGGGTTGGGCTGCAGCTGCAGGGACAAAAACAACATTGGCAGCGTACTGCCCTGAGACCTTCTTCCCAAGTTCCATCTGCAGCTTCCAGAGGGCTCTGCTCTCCTGCAGGTCCTCTTGGAAAGCTGCCTGTCCCAGACACGATCTCTGGGGCCCTTGGAGATGGCATGGGATGCTTGTGATCACACAGTGGAGCTTTGCTCCTTTTCATTTTTTCCCATTAATAATTATCATTTCCTGTCTACTGATGTAAAGTACTTGTCCTAGTGGGAAGGTGAACCACACTGGTGGGATATGGCTGAGGAGTGCGTTCTCTTTTTAGGCAAATTGTATTGTGCTTTACTGTTGTTTGTTTTAAAGCAGGAAGCAACATCCTGTGCCTGCGTGCAGACAGTTCTCTTAGGGAAGCAGGTAAAGGAATGGTGTAAAGGAACTGTACCATCCAGCTGCAGACTGCAGTGGAGAATTCTGGTGTAGGGAAAAGTGATGCAAGTGCCAGGTGCATACAGCAGACACGTCAGGCCTGGGGAGGTGAGCAGTCAGGTTGTCTGTACTGTGTCAGACCTCAAGCAATTGCTTCTCCTGCCTGTGCAGATCTCCTTAGGAGACACCCTCAATCAACATCAGTTGGACAATGGTGCTCCAAAAGCAACAAGATGCACCTTGTAAAATCAGAAAACATTTTTCTTGGGTGCCCTTTGAAATCTTCTTTCTTTCCTATAGGAAACATGG